GTGTGGTTACAACGAAAAGACATTGCTAATCTACGTATCGTATTCGTACAACAGTGGATTATCGGATATGTTCCACTTTGGATATTCATCTTCATCATGTGCGCATTCTATTTGGGCTCTGAGCATAATCCGAATCGATACACTGGGAATATAGACGTTGCTCTATAGTCGATTTCGATGGTGATCAAGCAGGTAGTGTCTTTCTTGATGCTTTTCGATCTACACCACCTGGAAATCTGACTCTTCATTGGCGATTTAAGTATCCGGATGACTTTGGTAATAACGTGAATGAGACTCGACAAGCTGTTGATGATGGACAAGTGTGGGCCATTGTAGTGCTTCGACCAAATATCACGGCTACTATTAATAAATCTTTACTTGCTCTGATCAATTCTACAACATTGGTGACTTATCCATTTTTTAACACACTTCCTGTGCTTGTTATCTATGATGAGGGGCGAAACGCATTTACCCAAAACATTTTTGTATTACCACCAATTCATGCAGCCATTGTGACAGCCAACAATCGGTATAGTAAAACACTTCGTACAACAATTATTTCTAATTTATACTCCACATCTTTTTTAAATAATAATCGAACATTGCAATTACAGAATACGCTACGTCTTCAACGTCTCATTACCAATCCGTTTGCTGTAGAATATAATAATCTTCACCGCGCTCTTCTTTACGTAGGTATGTTAAATCTAATATTATTTAAATTAAAACTTGCTCTCTAAATAAAAACACTAGTACATATTTTGGCCAGTATCTTGATAATTATTCATAAAGATATCTTACGATCTAAAGTGCTAATGAGAAAAGATTAGTGTCGTTTTACACGTATCTAATTTGGTTTGTTTTGCTTGATTTAGGTCAATTCGCTACAAGTGTTGGTTACATTTATTTATTCTTAGTGACGACTATTTTGGTTGGTTCAATTATTAGCACCCTAACCCCTTTAAGTAAGGCCAATCTTTTCTTCTTGTTTACTAAGATTTCCTCCTTTTGAAAACAGAGATTTAACATTGAGAGAATCAATCCTATCATTTTTGAATAGGTAATAAGACCATTATGCTTTCGAAAATTTACTGTTCTGATCTGTCAAAAAATAGCATTCATAGATCAAAAGTGACTAAAAGAATTCAAACTTAGTTTTTTAATCGATATTATTTATAATGCATAGGTACACAGTTAATTCATCTAAATTTACAAATTTCTTAGAGAAAAGTCGCCGCTACCATCTGAATAAAAACTCATCAAATGTATAAAAGTTGTACAATGTTCTAGTGGTTTCAATAATCTGTAGTGACCTTTTTCATTACATGTTTTTGAAAAAAACTGTTTTTTCGTAAAAACTACATGCTTTTGTTAAAATCGTTTTTTAGTATGAATCATTATAGCCGAATGATATTAGTCATATTTGTTGATTGTTATAGTATAAAATCTGAATAATTTGAATCAATGATATAATCTAGAAAGATAAGCTGTCATTATCTCTTCTAACATCCTCTATTTGACTGTAAAAGGAATACTTGGCTTTTCTAATAAAAGTATGAAGATTGTCATGTGAATAGTTTTATAAAATCACTATAACAATCAACAAATATGACTAATACCAATCGGCTATAATGATACATACTGAAAAATGATGTCAACAAAAGCATGTAGCTTTTACGAAAAAATAATGTTTTTCTTAAATATATGACGAAAATATTTACTGCAAATTACTAAAACCACTACAACTCTATATGAATTTTATAGATCTCAATGAGTTTTTTTAACAAATGATAGCACTGATTTCTCTCTAAAAAAATTCGTATATTTAGACCAATTAACTGTGTACCTGTTTACCATAAGTAACATCAGTTTAACTAGAGCTATGGAAATTTTTTGAATCAAACATTACGGCGTACTTTTTCATTGACAACAGTTTTATTTAGCATATTTCAACAACGATGCCGTCTTGTTTGAAGTTGTCAAATATTTATCTCATGTCTTTTTCTGTTAAATTGATAGTAGAATAAAAAGACCAGGATAGTTGTGGGTAATAGTATTTCATACATCTCTTCTACCCCATTGTCATTTTATGAGAAAAGATGCGTATTGTGTATAGTTTATTTTTTGAAAAAGAGGTCATAATCTCGCAAATCTATGATCAAGCATCAGTATATCTAATCACTGAGCAGATACTTCTTTTTATTTGCTTTTTGAAACAGACAACAGTAACATGTCATCATTTTTCTTACTAGTTGGCAAACTTCATTATGTCGATTTGATCTTGTATCACATATTAAATGATGTATTTCAATCGTTGATAATTTCATTGATCTATTCTCTTATCGTTCTTTGACTATTTCATATCACATCAGCTCGTCTGTTTATGCGGTATCGGATGTTCAATTGGTTGAGTACCATGCTGTTGAGTGTAATTGTATCTTTTTTTCTAACCAACTTTGATGTATTTGCCAGTATTCTTCTTATCATTTTCGTTGTTATTATGGTTTCTGGTGCTGCCATCCAGATATCACTTGAACTTTCACCACGATTTTTTCGGTATGCCTACGGAACACCTTTGTATAATGCAATGAATGGTGACCGACATCTTCTGTTTGGTTCATATTCACGTTTCACCATTAATGTTGGAGTGTTAATTATTTATCTTGGTGTGATAATCATATTCACCGTTTTAACTATTATCTTCTGGACCAAAAAACGTCAAAAAGATATTCGAAAAGAAAAACAATGAGACGAACATAAGCAATACTATGTATCAAAATGATCGATTTATTCGCCTCTGAATACTAGATCAATTGAACATGATTAACTGCTTGTTTCACTCTTAGTATTTTCTGTTATATGAATTTTAATTTTGATTTAAACTCGCTGTAGAAAGTCAGACTAACAAAAGTTTACCTATTTGACTTTTAAATAGGATGACACATACGGAAGTCTTGGTTTTGATATTATTTTACGGTGCTTTTTTTTCACGAAGGTATTGTTCACAACAATCAGTGCATGCAGGAAAATTTTCTATTATGCACTTTTTTCTTAAACATGATGCATCTGGTTCAATGAAGCGCAAAGTTTGTCCGGATCACCAATGGTATGTCGAAATACTCATAAAAGCTACTAGTAACGGTTATTATGTCCAGTTCCAACAATTAGATAGAATTCAAAGTAACAAGAAAAAAAAACAGTTTCAGAATATATTTTACCAATCAATACATTCAGATGCAACATCTTCATAAAAAACGGCAATATAGCGCACATTATACTAATCGATATACTAGCGGTAGTTTTTCGGTAGCTGTGTCACATGGACAGTTTGAGTAATTTTCGATTTGCAAGATGAATTCCAAAAATTGTTGAACTTCTCTTCATTTCGAAAAGAAGCAAAGCAACTGATTACTTTCAAATGATTTTTCAGTGGTTCTTGATGAAAACGTATGGTTTTTCATTGTTGTACGAATAACTTCCAAGCACAGATCAAATGCACATTTAGACGCGCTTTTCTAGAGATTTGGCTGATCAAGAATTTTCGAGCTGCATAATTTTAAAACACTATTGGAATAAAGAATTTCTTATATTTTTTTTCTACCAAATATGGAACATTTTCTAATAAACTGCTTATATTGCTCACAATAGTTTGATTAGAAAACTTGTCTATGCATCATAAAAGCAGTACTTTACGAGTATTTTTGTAGATATTCATCGATCAATCATATTTATTGTTATTGAAATATCATTCAAGATATAATTACATAAAAATGATTTTCATGTTAATTAAAGAACCATGGGTTTTTGTCTTCCTTAATATCACATTTCATCATTATTGTCTCAATGACAATCAATTACAGTATTGAGAATAGGTGCATAGTAACTATAGTCAAGTATTGAGAAATACATCAAGTTCTCTCTATATCACGTCGATGCGTTTTGAAAATTTTCTTCCTCTAGACAAGCCAATTTGAAAGATTGAACATTCTTCCCAGTGAGAAATAAGTGTTGCAATACGATTTACAAATAAAAAATAGGCTGATAATTAGCTCATCTCTCAATACGAGAGTATTATACCACATCTGTAAAAAAAACTCAACGGTATAGATTGCTGTATTGTCTTAGTAATGTATGATGATCGTATATACTGGTAAATTTCATTCTTCAAGTAATTATAGATCAGAGAATATTGGCAAAAATATGAACTTAAATAAGTTGAATATCTATGATCGTTCACCTCACAAAGTAATAAAGACGTCATATGCATACTAAAAATCTGATCTTTTTGCCGAATCCAAAAACATTTTACTGAAGTTTTATTCATTAACAAACACAGACACATCCATATGAAAAAGCTTTTAATGACAAAAACTTATTGTATCGAAATATACTTCTAATATTATTGACTCAATTAGTCTTATTCAACTTTGTATATATCAGACTGGGTCGATCTTTTGGATCAGGTCAATTAATCGTTCAGATAGAGAAATTTTCTTTCTCTACCAGTGATATCTTTGTTATCAGTCACTAAATGCAATTCAAAACGCTTATTAATGGAACAAAATATGTTTTCAGATACCTTAGACTACGTTCTACAATATGGCAATAATAAATTGTTTAAAATGATGACTTCAAACTCCGGAATAATGAAGTTACGCTTTACGCGTTTAAGCCATGCTCAACTATCGACTGGTAAATAAAGTTCAAATTGTTGCTTTTCTTTTCTTTATACAAAATAAAAAAAAACTTCGTCAAACAGGTACCCTACCGTTTTATTTCTTCTCTTTTTTTTCTTATCGTCTTTTTGTTGTCGCTAGAAAACGTTGTTTTTTTCTTTTCTTCATATGGTTCTTCTTCTACGTCTTTTTTTTCTGCCAGTAGATACAGTCTGTTATTCTCTTCTCAACAAGATTTTTTTTCCTTGCTATTTACTCACTCTTATCGATAACAGAAACTATTTAGTTGTTGTCCAAACACACATATACGTGAAAGTCTATAGAATGGACGAATTTATTCGACAATTGACGCATGATGAGCAACAATTCGATAATCAATCGTCTAACATATATGATCGACTACATAAAATGTTCAATGAATATCAAGAGAAACATACTGATATTTCAAATTTCAAGGTCAAAGTTTTAGATGCTCTCGTCGATTATGTACTTGCAGAATCAACATATGATTGTGAATCGTTCTCTGTTAAAGTGGTGTTTATCAAGAACACTGTAAAATTATTAGTCGGTGATCCATTACCATCACTGACTGATCTTGTACGTATCTTGCGACGTATTCTTGATACAAATAATATATTTCATCAGTGGCATCTACACTGCATTAAAACTTTTCATTATCAATTCCGACTGTGTGAACGTTTATCATCGACGAAATCGATCGATTTGATCGAATCAATTTTTCAAGGTCTTCAAAAGCATTCATTTTCAAATGACCAAACAGATAAAAAAACACAAGAAGAATGGAAAGAATTTTTATCTAACATAATGTTCCCATCATTATCCATGGACAAAAATGTATTAAATCATGAAGAAACAATGCTTGCAATGCGACCTGCTTATCAACAACTGTTTAGGTAAGGATACGAAATGTAATAATATAAATTTTTCTTACGAAACTCTGATTATGATATTAACTCTTCTTCTTCAAGAATATAGACACTTTTTTCACAATAATAGGATATCAAAATAGTTTCAATGCGTTGATATAAGCAAAAACAAAAGATAGCGCCATACTAGAAAAGTAAACTTTGAAACGCGTGAGATACATATGTTGATAGAGCTCGCCGAAATTTGTATGCAAAAAATATGATTTAAGGCACATCAAGAATCCATCCAAGATAATTGACATTAAAAATTTACTCTACTAACGTGATAGTATATAAGAAGAAAGTTTTCTGACTGAAATTTTAGATCCAACAAATAGTTTTCACATCAAAACGTGACTATTCTCAATTTTTCTTCATAGTAAAACACATTAATTTTTTTTACATTTATTCCACAAATAAATTTCTTTTTCTACCCTTAAAAGGACAATCGAGATATAGAGTTCTCTTTAAATATTTTGCTGCCTTCATTTTCACAAAAAAACTGTCTTGATTACGCATTACTCATGTAGCCAACGGAAAACTTTTTTCCTTATTTCATTGCAGCATGTCACAGAAAGCTGGAAATAATTTTGCTCCCGAAGAAAACAATCGTAATTAATCATTGATTAGTGACTTCTTCATAGTACCTATTGAACCAGCATTAGAACTTTATGGTAACTTATATTCGAAGCAGAAAATTTGAAACTTTGCAGAACTAAATAAATTGTCGATATTCTCTATTCGAATTGGCTCTGAAAGACTGCTTGAACAAAAATTTTCTTAAGATTTTTAACACTTTTTTTTTGTAATTCTTGTTTTTATTCACCTACGAAACAGTATACTAGTATCTGTTTTTAATCAAAATTCCAACACTGATCTTAACGTTTTCTACAAAAACTATTGTGCACGAATTTCAGAAGATGCACGAGATTAGAGCATCAAAAATATTAGTGTTTCCAGAAAATAATATCACGATTACTTTATTCGATTGACATTATTCAGTTAGATAAATAGTGATTTTGATTTATTATTGATGATCAAATAGACGCTTCACATGAATTTCTATTTAGTGTATTAGTAAAATATTTTTTTTCAGCTGCAAGGAGTGTTTAAGCTTGATAAGATTAGCGCATAAAATATGTCGTAATCGGACTGAAGAGAAAAGACGCGAGTAGGATATTTGATGTAAGCAAACGAAATACCTTATCTACATTCATTTTCTTTAAATTTGTCTATCGAATCGAAAAAAATTGCAAACCTCGAACTAATCTCACTATAAAGCTATTCTGTCTATATTGAACGATAACTTTGAATTTTAAACATTTTATCAGAGCTCTCAATTCACTGCTTCATTCCTTGTTAAATAGAATTATTCTTCTTGAAAATGTCTAGCGATAGGTTGATTGCGAATTCTGTATTGATTCAAAATTCTATTCTTTGCGAAAGTTTAAAAAATATTGACGCTTTTTTGAGTAAGATGTTAATATAAATTCAATGTTTCTATCTAAAGGTATGCTGCTCGTATGTCTCACCAATCACAGGTCTGGTCAGGTGTTATATCAACATTAACACGAACATTACCAACATTATTCGATGAATATTCTAATCCAAGCGATGCTAAAGCTGACCTAGTAGAATGTGTTAAACCACCGATTTCGACTGATTTTGTCAAATTGCTTGTTAAATCGTATAAAAAAAGTGTTAATCTATTCAAAATGAATTCATCGGAAATTCCGACTGTAATTGAAAAACTGATGTTATTTGATCAGATGACACAAGCTCGTGATTTTATTGAAGATATAATTATTGTTCATTTTGATTCAGCAATTGATATCATCGATCCTTTAGTTCATATGTTTATACGTACATGTCCAATGGTAAATATCAATAATCGAAATGAATTATGTAAACAAGTTATATCACGTCTAGTCTATAAATTGGCCAATGTTAAATGTAACAAAAAACTTGCACCACTCTTTTTTGATTTTGTTCTTGCCATACTCAATTTATGTGTACTCGAAGCACCTTCATGTGCTTTGAATTTACTTAAGAAAGCTGACTTCTATCCATGGAAAGACTTAGCACCAAAATTCAAAGATCTCACTCGATTATGTGCTGCCTATGAAACGGTATATGTAACAACCTATTTTAGCGAACTTGATAAACTCGAAGATATTCTTGAATTAGCTGTCGAAAGAGCTAAAGTTAATGTCATCATTTTTCGATCAACACACGACGAAGCTTTAAAAGCTACACTTCGTTGGTCGACAACACCAATCGAGAATAATAGTAAAAAGCCATGGTTAAAACATGTTTACAACATGGGACGACAGATGATGAAACTGATCGATCAAAAACAAGTCACTACCGAACTTTTTTCTCAATTTGTTAAAGCACTCGAACAGAGCATTATCGATAGTGAGAATGATGATAATCAAGAAACAAGACGAATTATAAATCCATTTTTCATTGTAAGAAGGATTTTATAAAACATTGTTTAAACGAACATAATTTACATTTAGAGCTTAGCAACACAGTTAGGAAAGTATATTGAAACTCTTAAAGATCTTCCACACGAAATTCATCGTCAATTGGCTTCGTTTATTCTAACTGCACTCAAACGTCCATGTAAAAATGAAAATGGACAAATGTCATTCGAATATAGTATAACGATGATTGTTTGGTTTAAAATTCCACAATGTCTAAAGAATGAGGCTGATATTCGTCTTTATGAATCATGCCTTAAAGAAATACATTCATTAGCATGTGATAATGAAGAGAAATCATTTTTTGACTTGTGGAATACATTTTGGATGATTGTCGGTATGAAAGTACCTGATGCGGCTACCGATTATGTTGAAGATTTTCTAAATGATTTACTTGATCGAAAGCATCTTACTATGACTGGTCTATTGCCAGTAAGTAGATATTTTAATTTTTCTCTTTGTCACAAAATACATCTAAAAATTTATTTTTCGAAAGAGATTAGCAAAAAAACAATAAGAGCAACAGTTGAAAGAAGAAATTTTGCATGTGAATAGAAACATCGATTCATATATAATGTCGATAGAACAATAAATCTATTGAATGACTTTTCATCGTTCCTTTGTTTTTAAAAATTTTTCATTCTCCGTGTTGAATAGTAGAGTATGATCATGCATACAAAAGTCATACGTTATTGCGCAACATCATCCCGTTAGAATAATTATTTTTCCAATTCGAGCATGTGCTATAAAATCTAAATGTAAGAAGTTTTGCAACAAAGTTAGTTCAAAACACTACAGACATTTCTTTTGCAGAGGATTGAAGACAAAGATTTACTTTTTAAAAAATATATCGTACCCATAATAACTCTGAATGAATTTTTATAATCATGAGTGATGTTCAATAATTTAGTGCCACGAAAAAATATCTTTCTTATACAATAAATATTTTTCAGCTAATATAAAATACTATAGGTTCTAGCTTTGGATGAAGACTTCATTAAGCAGAGGTATTATGTACGTGTAACAATCCAACAGCTTATCTCAATCGATAATGATTCGGAGATATTGAGAAACATCATTAAAAAACCTTACAATCTTTATATACAATGAGATCTTGACTTGTTCCCTCTTAGATCTACCTTCACAGTTCGAGTTAAAAATTTTCACACCCAAAATTTTTGATTGTTTCGTATGTTCTTAAATAGAATATAAATAAAAATAATATTAGTCGAACTTTTAAGCTGAACAAAAGATCTCATTGCCAGAAAAAAGTTTACAGCATCGATTTTTTTTCTATTGTTTATTAACGTTCAACGAGTGAAACTATTTTGAACATTCTTTAGATGCAAATATCGTTTTTTATTTCGTTTTTTAGACACTTTATCCTAAACGTCCTGAACCGTATCATGCTCGGCTAGATGAATTTATCAATAGTATGCTTTCTGGTGATGTATCATACATAATATCACTAGGAAATATCTTTTCTATCATTGCCAAAGAACATCCTGAATTGATTACAGAAGATCAAGTCAATAATATATTCATTTTACTGAAAGATCATAGCGGTACTTCGCTAGAATTATATTGCATTTTTCAAGGACTTGGCTTTGTGGCAAATGCACAACCTCATCTATTTCAAAAACATTATACTGCACTCGTACGTTTTATTGTTGATCTACAAAATGTATCAGCCTTTACTTGTCTTCAACAATATTTTGTTGCATCAACTATTGTTAATGGTGAACAACAGGCCAATGAATCTCTTACATTTCTTATTGATCTTTTAAAACGTGGTTCGGCAATTACGAATGATATTCGAAAGCAAATCTTTCATACATGTCAATTAATCGGTGTAATCAATAAGCAAGCACTTGAAACTAGAAGAACTGATTTAGAAGCATTCAATTCATTTCCAGAATGTCGAGCATTGATTGATTTTATTGATGGCAATAAAATGAGTGAAGAAAATCAAGCTGCGATAAATCAAACACGTGAAGAAATCACACAAATGGAAAAACGTGTTGTCAAAACTGAGAAAGATGTGCATAATATAACAAATGTTGTGAAACGACAAGAACTGAATGTAAGTTTTCTATTTATATTAGATTATATAAAAAGAAAATGACAAAACCCGAATACTGTTGAGTATATAGGATCGATTCGATAAATATTTTCCATTCTTATAGATGCTGCGGTACCAGTATGAGCAACAACAGGCTTCTTCAGCATTAACGGATCTAACAACGAGCAGTCAAAATAATTCTAGCACTAATGATGCTGCTATTGCATGGATCGATCGCATTGAATTGTCCCTTGACAGTATATTTCTTGAATTACAAACAGTTCGAGAGGAATTGCGCTTGTTTCGTCAACATTTTTTAAATAAATAAACAAATAAATAAAACACATATACAACAGACTCTATTTATCTATATGTAGGTGACCAATCTTGGCGCACGTGTCGATTCAGTTGATACACGTTTAAATGATGTCACTGAACAAGTACAAACACAAGCACGTGAAATTGAACGAATCGATGCAAAAACATTGAGCTATGTACCAGCTGAATGGGGTCGACAAGTGACTAAATTATTAAATCAACGAGCAGATAATGATTGGCGTTTACTTGGAAAACGTTTCGGTTATTCAACTAGTGAATTAAGACATTGGGCTCTTCAAGCTGATCCATCTATGAGTTTATTGAATGAATGGTTCATGACACACAAAACTGATGAAGCAACTTATGGACTTGTCAAGATGTTGGATGACATCGGTCGACAAGATGTCACAAAAATTATTCGTGAAGCAGTTTCGGCAGCCGGTCAACTTATACCTGATGATATGCCTATGGAAATCAAACGACTTCCACCTGTCTTTCTTTCATATCAATGGGGAACTCAAAAAGCCGTTCAAACACTCAAGACTCATCTTGAAGAAGCTGGTTATGCGTGTTGGATGGACATTGGACAGATGGGTGGTGGTGATAAATTATTTGCTAAAATTGATGCTGGTATTCGCGGAGCAAAAGTTGTTATATGTTGTATGAATTCAGCGTATAGTCAATCGGATAATTGTTTACGTGAAGTTCATCTATGTATTAGTACAGGCAAACCAATAATTCCTTTACAAATGGAAAAACAAACATGGCCACCTGAAGGTGCTCTCGGTCCAATCATGAGCGAATATTTATACATTCGATTTTATGATCGTAAATCGAATTCGGAAAATTATTGGCCTGCAGATCGATTTACGGAACTTCTTGGTCAAATTCGCTATCATGTAGCTCCAGATCCTGATATGATTAGTGAACGATATAGCAATTGGTTTGTACCACGTGTCGATAATTTAATCTTTCTTCAACCAACATCCAATGACAATAAGAATAAACAAGTTGAATTGAAAGATGGTACTCCACTCGTCGTTACTCATCCACAAGTAATGATATCATATCAATGGGATCGTCAAACTGATATTGTTGCTCTCTATAAACGATTGACACAATTAGGCTACCGGTGTTGGCTTGATATATTTCAGATGGGTGGTGGAGATTCTCTATTTGAAAAGATTGATGCTGGAATTCGTAATGCCAAATGTGTACTTGCTTGTGTCACTCCAAAATATACGAAATCGATCAATTGTCGACGAGAAATGTCATTAGCCGATGCACTTACTAAACCAATTGTTCCGTTATTACTTGAAGATACCGGTACATGGCCACCAGCAGGTCCTATGGCACTTGTCTTTACTGATAAACTATACATTGATTTTCGTCATCAGAATGAAAATATTCAAGATACTCAAGATATATGGTCATTGAAAGAATTCGAACAAGTACTTGCTCGATTGAAAATAGCTGTACCCGAAGTTCAAACAGAGAAGCCTCGTAAACATTTACTCGATATGAAACGACCGACAACAGCATTAGGACAAGCCGAAAATAAGAAACGACCAGCACGTATTCGAAGTGCACCAAGTGTTCCACAGAGTCGAGCATGTTCTCTCATGTAAAGACTTGCTTTTGCATTACTATATTGATGTAATTTGATTTCATACAATATTACTTTGGTCTTTACAGAACATTGCCTCATAGATAGATACTTATGATAAATAATACTGTTTGCTTTTATTCCAAATATATACAATTAAATTAAGTAATAATTTTAGATTCTATTCAACACTATGATGTAGACTCCCATGTGCTAAAGTCTAATCGCATAATTCTAAGAGTGATGGAGTAGCTTTTTCATAGCAATATCTATCGTGATTTTTTCAGTATTTTTACATGTTTGTGTTTGATACATCCGATGATAATTTTAACATATTCGATCTGAAATTGATTCCTAACAATATTTTTACTTTATTTTATTGTTTATAAAAAGTGCATCGTGTATATGTTGAAATTGGGTTTTTAATAATGGATATAGAAATGATGCACACGGGAAAAAACTTGTATAAAGAACGAGAATTGAACGTTTGAAGACAAAACTGGCTCTACAGACCTTACTACACTTTCAACAACACACACACTCACATCTGCATTCGCATTCTCCAACAAATTATTATTTTCTATTCATTTTTCTTATGCACTTAGTAAAATTTCAAAAATCATTTCACAGTGGAATTATCAAAAATAGTCACTTGTCAGTTTTGATAACATACGATCAGCACTTTATTTAATCCGAATCACATTGGAATCTGTATGAGGTAATGATCGTCGATAGATTTCGGATGCTTTTTTAAAATTGGATAGTGCTTTTTCAAAATCATCTAGATGTTCATAAATGAGACCCATATTCTCATATGTCATGCCAAAGCGAATATGGAAAAGAGGAAGAGATTTCTCATAGATTTTGATTGATGAAGTGTAATGTTGCAATGCCAAATCATGTTGATCAAGACAAACATAAATATTACCAAGATTATTGTGTGATACATCAATATCAGAATGATGCTCAGGAAAATGATTCTGACGAATAGTTAATGCTTTTTTATGACATTCTAATGCTTTCAAGTGTTGTTTCTCGTCTTGATAAGTATTACCCATATTATTAAGACACATAGCTACATCTCGATGGTCTTCACCATATGTTTTATTCTAAATTATTAATGCTCTCTTGTATGATTCAATTGCTTGATTATGATCACCAGTCTCTTGATAAACAATGCCAATAGACTATTGTGAATGTTAGTAATATTTTCAGCATCAGTTTTCGATGTTCGATGATTAATCTTGAGTAATTTATTGTACCATTTCAAACTCGATTTAAAGTCTTTTTTTCTCACTTGTCACTATTCCTAAGGCATGATAACATGCTGCAATATGGGGATGATTAGCAGATAATTGATCAAGATAACAACAATAATATTTTTCAGTATAACTCAATTTACCCATATCGCGTAGGACATCTGCAAAGATATACAAATTTGTTTCTTCATTACCTAATTTTTGTTTCATGTATTCAAAGAGTGATTGTAGGTTTTTATCATTATTAGAACATAATCTTAAAAGAATATTCCAAAGTCCACTATCATCACGTTTCATCTCCATAATTTGAAAAATTGATCCAATCATGAAAAGTATTTCTTCTTCGTGTTTGTAATAACTCAATGAAGTTATATTGTTGAAAGCTTTAGTATTTTCCAATCGAGGATCTGCATCAATGGTAAAACGAACTTTCTTATAATCATTACAAGAGTTATTTGAAGTAAACGAGTCAGTTATTTTAAGTTTGAGGCTTGTCGAAAGAAATGAATTCATTGAAATAAATTGACCAAGAGAATTCTGAAAATTTTCAAGTTCTTTTTTTGCATTTTTTGACTACGATAAACATGAACAATTGATAAACATTTATTTTTTTTCAGGTGTTGTGCAAGATCACGAATAAAAAAATCGAAATAGATATAATAATTTGATGTCTTGAACTCGAACTGCTCTGTTCAACATTCTATAAATAAATATCTCTCTTGTATACCATTTTATTGATTGAACAGGTGAATAGTGATGTTCGAATTCTTCTACAATCTTCAATTCATCAGAATTTTTTTCAAATTTTTCTTTTAAATAGGTAATGAATTCTTGCTTTTCATTCAATGATGGTTTCATTCGAATGAGACAATCAATTAATAGTTGAAAATGTATGAATTGACCATTTAGTTCAGTTAAGGATTGTCCTTCATTTAGAATATTCGAATTAAATGCACAAAATGGTAATTCTTCATCAAATTTATGATGCTTTATTTGTGTTCGACCAGCTTGAATATGATGAAATAAATCATCCAATCGAAAAATCACATCTTTTACCTAAACAAAGGTTGATAATGGAATTTCGGTAGGATTAAAATGTAAAACACGATATAACTGCTATTACTAATCACAAAGAGATTCTTTTATTCTGTTTGTCTTTGAAAATATTTCTTCATCTTCCTTTTATTTAATCCTTCAGAAATACAATAACGAAATAGTTCAGATATTGTAACGGACCACTATTGATGTACTGTCTGTTATCGAACATCAATAATATCTGTCATGGTCTTTGATCAGCATCTTCGACGATCTGTAGTGTTTACCAGATAGGATTTCTCGTGGCTTGTGGAAAGCCACGGCTGGGGGAAGAGAGAGAAGACATAAATCAGAGTTGGACATAGGGCAACTTTTTCTGTCCTACAGGACAATAAGAATCTTTATTTTAACTTTCGATCTACTTATCTTATAATTAATTTATTTAATATCATTGTAAAATACAACGACTAACGTTTTCTATAATGATTAATACTGTAAGTACAAGAAAGTATAGAAACATCTTGATTTATTATTTTAATAACACATTTATCACAAAAAAAAATATTAAAAATTATGAACTTGTGAGGTTTTATCATGATTGTCTTAATACATAGTGGATACTATCAATAATAACAAAAATCATACAAAGAAAAAGAAAATATACAAAATAGAGCTGAACATAGGACAATATTTTCTGTCTTGTTCGACTGTCTTAATCTTTCGTGTTCTGTGCTCAGCTCTGGCACAAATTTCTACTTTATATAGTTCAACAATCCTTTTAAATCGTGTTTCACAATATATATGTTATTTAGAATTAAATCTCGAAAACTAGATGAATATACTAACTTTAGAGAATTGTTTTCCCCATTGTTCATTAGCTTTTTTATCTTGACAATAAACATAAATTAAAATAATTTGTTGAAGTTGAGCAATTTTCGGAACAATAATTTGACCTAATCTTCCACTAACAATTAAAATGATGTGATCATTTTTTTGACAGACAATGAATATGTTGAAGACATTGTCAATCATCTTCATATGTTAATAAATTATTAACTGATGTTCGAAATTGTTTTTGAGCTTTGATATTATCTTGTGAACTATTGACTGCAGCATCAAGCCAAATTAAACAGTATTGGTATAAATTTTCGTTGATTTTCAATGACTCTACTTTATTGTTCATAATTTACCTGTAGTCTTGTTGAAAAAAAAGTATGGTGTATGTTTGACAAAGATAACTTCAGCTTATATATGTTGTGGTCAAAATTAAAATTCAGTCAAATTTAAAATTTGCCCAGTCAAAATTGAAATTCTTGTTTTAATGCAAAGAAAAAGCTAAAGAAAAACGAATAGTTTTAGCAGCGACAACTTATTTATTTCAAAAAGATTACTAACAAATATTATAAGAGTATGGATGCAATAGAGGCATTGTAGGAGTGTCAATTTATATTTACTTTCAATTTAATTAATGCATAAATTAAATTATCAAAATTTATATTTAAAATAAAACTATATTTGATTTTCATAATTTACATTTAAAATAAATTTAATGTTTTTTTCATAATTTAAATTTAAAAATATATTTCAATTGTCTTAAGCTAAATTTATTTTAAATATCAATACTGATGATTTCAATTTATATTTAAATTTAAACTATGAAAAATTTAATTTATTTTAAACTTGATTACTGATGATGTAAAGTTATTTAAGTTAATAGGAAAATGACAACTCTAAGATCTTGCTGCTTCCACATCCATCTATGCCCACACCCCCACCCTTCAAAACCAAGAATTCTCACCCATATCCATATGCTTTGTTATCAAAATTTTACCTTTTTCTTTTCATTAAGAAAAATAATTTTAATTTTGTTCAGTCAAAACTAAAATTTTAATTCTGACTGATATTATGTTGGACAAAATCAAAATTTCAATTTTGCCTGGGCAAAACTAAAATTTTAATTGTGACTGAATTTTAATTTTGACCACAACATATATATATATGATATGATAAGAATCTCTTATGTTCTTGAAGTATTTATTATCTATTGGAGACTTACAACAAAGAATAGTTATGTTGTTTGTAAAACGAAACAACAACAAATGTTGGGTAAAAAGAAAAAAAGAAACCTTTATAGTCTCGTTCCTATAGTTTCTTTTGTTGTTTTTTGAAATAAGAATACACTCATAAAAGACACATATAGAATGCGGATAGTAAACGATCATAAAAAATATTGAATATAGAAAAAAGTTATTGTGATCATTCTAATTGTTTCAAAATGAGTTCTAGTGAATGTATTGTATTCAAGGTACGTGAAATTGTATCCTGCTGTCACAGTAGGTAACAAGGTCTTTTGTGCTGTTCAGTAGCATAGCTTGTTCTTCGGAGTTTTTAGTAGTTGAACCGAGATATTCTGAAGTGTTTAATTGTTTAACTTGTTCAAAAAAGCTTTCATAAAATTGTCTAGAAACTGAATACGTAGCCGAGTAGATATCATGAAGGATTGTATTTACTGACAAGACAACCATTGCCAATGGTAAATCGCGTTCGACTATGTTTTTATCCATTTTATTGAAATTCAGCCTATGAAGAAGCATATGTCAACAATTCGGATGATAGTATTTTGACAGAGAATTTAACCTATAGCTGGATCGACTTGTAACTAGAATGCCGAGAAAATTTGAGTTCATCAAAATATTTCCTTCACAGAATATTGAATTTCTAACAAAATATAAGGTTTTTGCATTTTCCATTGAATGTTAGTGATTTTATGGAAACTCAATATTAGCGCGAAGAAAAAAACCTTTTAAGCCGATTTTTTCATTATTTTGGTGACATGTAGTTTTATCCGTTGAGAAAATTTCAGGTCGAAATATTTAGTTATTCGATTTGTTAGTGGATACTGTGCTATAGACTAAAATAATACGTAGTAACAAGGGCAACTACTCTGGTGCGAAGGTCTGAGGGAACTAAACATTTTGAGGTTTTTGTTCATCAGTCTTATACACTATACAAACAGAGTCCGAGCATGAATATGATGACTTACTTAGAGCGTTATTGCGGCGAGACCAATATCAGCGAGGTATATCCCAAGATTCTCTACATATTGATAGTAGGATGCTCTAGCAAATACTCTACTAAACGATATTTCAATACACGAAGAGTGTGAGTATAGATACTCTGTCCATCCACTGAGTGAACAAACAATATCTCTACAAGTGTACAATAAATGCGTCTGGATAGTGTACATTGAAACATTGATGAAAGTGTGATCGATCATTTCTTTTAAATCAATTGTATAATTGCTCATTTATTTGAAATAAATACTGGTTTTTCTTGCGAACAAATCAATATTATGATTTTTTGAAACATGAATAACTATGTTAAGATGACATGTATTTCACCGTTTGTTTCGATGATTCTCGCAAGTTTTTATTTATTCGGTTGCTAACACTATCTTAGAATTGAATATGCTATTGACGGGTTTCAGATAATGTTTTGCATTATTATTATCATAATGTTGGTCATAAAAAGTTTAATGTTACTGAAAAATCCGACATGAAAAATTTGTCGAATTTTCGAACAATGCGTTGTTGCACTAATATAAGCTCGTTTAGTGACTCTTCAGCAGTATGATGTAACCAGAGGCGTTTATCTCACAGAAAAATTAGTTTTAAATCTTTTCATGAAGAAATGTCCAGATTGGTGAAGGTCATTATGAATAAAAGATTAGCTTTATTTTGTGGAACTCACATATATTTTCGAAGAAAATAGTGAGTGTAAGTTTTAAGATCAAGGTTTCGCGGCTCCGCTCCCCTCTCTCCTTACAGACAGGCACCCATTACAGACCATAACAACTTTACAAAAAAATTTTGTTCGAGTATATAAATAAAGAAAGACAGCATTTGCTGACAATCGGCTATCATTAGAAAAGAATTATTTTCTTTGAGAGAATTTAAACATTATATATTTTGTCATTAGTATAATGAAATCAAAGAAGATATGTGAGTTCCACATTTCAATCTCAAAAGGGCTGCGCTAATAAGCTTTTTTCTTCTATTTTTTTTTGAGTTTTCTGTCATTGTCATACTCCTGAATAATACATTAATACAATATTGTTAGATATATGTATTGATGAATTTATTTGAGTATTTTGAAATTCTTGCTGTACTTTCTTCAATATGTCTGTTGATGTAAAAGAAACACAATGATCGTCTTTGCTCTTTTTTGCATCGAAATTATTTTAACTATATTTTTTTTTTGAGTTATTGTGAAACTTTATATACTGCCAATTCCTAAACAGATTATCTTTTCAAACAGTTTCCCTTAGATGCATGATAGTTCATGCAATTATTGATGGTGTGAATAATGGTGATTTTCGAATAAGAGTGTCTTTCATTTCGAAGTGAAATAAAATCAATTGAAAACTTTATTAACATGTCTCAAAAATTTACATATATTGAAAAAAAAACAGATTTTAACTTGAATAAATCATGATATTTATTGTTCAAAGAAACAGATGAAAATTTTGTTTCTTATCAGCTGTAGTTTGAAGTTTTGTTTTACTTGACATTGACAATTGACAATCATTTAAATAAACTTCTTTTAATGATCGATTTTGTGCAAGCATATCTATAAGATAATTCAAGCATGAATCATTTATTCCTTGATTATTTTCCAAATCTAAATGTTTAAGAGTTGTATTATAATAAGTAAGTGCCAAAGCTAACATTTCCACACCATGATAACCTATTCGATTATTTGATAACCATAAACCAGTAATGGATTTATTTGTTTTGAGCATGATAGCCAAATATTCTGCACAATTATCATTTAAATCAGTTGATTCAAGATCAAGCCATTTAAGAGCTGAATTATTTAATGAAAGTTTTGTTGAAAGATATTGAATACCAATTTCTGATAGAGAATTTTGATGAAGAGAAAGCATTTTTAATGTTGTATTATTTGTTAAACTTTCAGCAAGTTGTATAATACCTTGAGAAACAATTTGATTATGTCCCAAATCAAGAATTTTACATTTTTTATTTATAATTGCCAAACTAATAACTACTGAAATATCATTATCATTTAGATATTGATTATTTAATGAGATTTTAGAATACAGTGTATATTGGTTAATTAAATTTTCAATTTTTAAATTATGCGAATTTGTAAATTCTAAACATAATTTAATTAATAAAAACATAATTATTTACTTGAGTTCTAACTTACTTGATGTTATTTTATTCTTTGGAACTTGATGAATGGCTAGTTTTGGATTTAAACAATAACTGCAATTCATTTCATGAGATTGTAAATCTATTCGTTGTCCTTTCCATGAACATTTAATATCAGCAGCTGAACATGATACAATTATTTTTGGACATTGATTATCTATATGATAATCAAAACGTTTTCGTTTTATATGTGCTTGATGACATAATGTACATTGAACTTGAAGTTGATCAAGTTTTTTAAGAAGACTTTGATCAGTTACAAGTTTTAAATTGTTTTTGATTAATACCTTACGACAGATTGGACATGATAAATCTTTTTCTAACCATAATTTAATACAATAAAGACAAAATATATGTCCACATAATGTTGATGTTGGTTTAATGAATGGATTTAAACAAGCAGCACAAATCAATTCGGAATCAATAGATAATTCATTTTCATATTCATATTCAAGAGTATGTGACATCTGTAGATAAATGATAAAAATAGAATATTTTTATTACATTATATTATTAGAGAAATAGTTAAAAACATTACTTAAATATAAAAGAAAAATCTGTCTTGAAAAAAAACACGTGTTTCTATAGCGTCATTGCAATATAAGCAAAAACACATTTTGTACGTTTAGTATCATATTTTTCTTTTCATATTTCCTTCTCTTTTCATACAAGTAAATATGCGTCCGATTTTTCCTGATTGATACGCCTATTTATACCTTTAAGTCATCGTTCGCTTTTCATGGACGTCTGATGTATATTAATACAATCATTGGTTTTATGCTCATTAAACAATATTTGATGTATACAACAGAATGATTAAGTAATTTATATATTCTCTGAACTGAGTGTTGAGTAAATAACATCGACTTTTACGACGTTGAAGAAACAAAGTGCACTTACAATTGTTTTGGTAATGAGTAGACAACTAATTAGTGTTACTCATACTAATCAATACAAAGATAGATGAATGACTCACGTAAAAGAGATGTTGAAACGAGTGACAGTATTGCAATTCAATACAATATTTAGATATACTTGCAAAATGCTGATACGTTTTGTGGAACTCACCTATATTTTTGAGGTATATAATGAGTGTAACTTTAAATCGAAGATTTTGCGGCTCCTTTCTCAAAGCTCAAGCAACTGAAGATTGGAGAACGAAAAACAGAGATTATTGAGTACGCTCCTACAACAATATGGCGAGAGGAGTAGCTAATGATCATTGGGCACGTTTTCTAGCAATGGAAAAAAGTGCATCAGTAAAGGCAGTACTTAAGTTGTTCTAAAACTTTGTAGAATCTTTCAAAGCATTCTATGAATCTAAGATTTCTACTATAGATTCCAGACATTGGACCAGTACCAGTACAGTAAGTACCAGTACAAGTACGGTGTACTTAAAAATTGTACTTTGTACTTTTACTTAAGTACAATGTACTTAAGTAAAAGTACAAGTCTCTCTTCGCTGCATATTTTTCTACCGACAAAAATCACTTTCATAATCAAATGACATTTGTATTAAAAAGAAGATGAAAGTTTACATGAGTATTATTAGACTTTTATATCTTTTGGTATCAAAATCAATATAATTTCCAGTTTTGTAACCTATAATCAGTAATGGTAAATTGGTAAAAGAGATATCAGAAACACATCTATAATCTGTTTGGTTACAACTGATGCGGGTGTAGGAGTGGATGCGTGTATTGTCTTCACACGCAGTACACCCACACCCACACCCCACCCACACCCACACCCACACCCACACCCACACCCACCCACACCGACACCCTCACCCACACCCACACCCTTTTACTTCAAAAAACGTACTGGTACTTACGATTTCCGCGTACTAAGTACGAAAAGTACTAAGTATTGTACTAAGTATCCAATGTCTGATAGATTCTCAGTAATCTAAACGTTGCGGTTTTTGATATCTAACGCAACGTAAGGATCTCACTGTAGGTGTCAATAAGTACCATTGAACGATTAAATCAATGTGTATAGCTCGCTAATATGGTAGTTGAACTCATAAAACGAAGAATAACACTATTTGTCGGTTCCTATGGCATGTGTCATATATATGTGAAAATTAGAAGACTAGAATTTATGTATAGAAAATGTTTCTGACAAAACAAATAAGTTCTCTCGGTATAACGATGTTAAATGAATCTTATAAATTCAGTAGTATTCACACTTACAAAAAAGTAAATTTCTCTCACAAAATATAAAAGTTCGGAAACCACTTTCACAATTAGACCATACAGATTGAAAAGTTCAAATATTGCTATAATTACCACTAAAGCAATCGAAATGATCTGTTCAAAAACACAGAACTTTTCAGAAACTTTTCTGGCGATAAATGAAAAAAGCAAAAGTAGATTGCTCAGCAATTTTAGTGATAATTCTTACACAAGAAGAAAATTTCCACGTAATTTTTAGAGGTATTCAAAAGCCATCGACTAATATAACATAAAAGTTATTTTTTAAAATTCTAACAAACTCATATAATAAAAGAAAGATCCTGCCTCATGAATAAATGACAGTTTTTAGGAATTTCCTAGCATTCGGAAATTTTCACTTATTCATAGGGTAGACTCTTCTTATTATCATATGAATGATTAGAGTTGTAAAAAAATACCCTTTGTGTGGAAATTGGTCGATGGCGTCTGAATAATTGTAGAAATTATCTGAAAATTTTCTTGCTGTGTACGATTTCTCAGTGAAATAGCTGAGAAATTTTATTTTTACTTTTGTTGTATATCTCTAGGAAATATCCTGAAAAATGCTGTATTTTCGAACAGATTGTTTCGATTGTTTGATTGGCAACTATGGTGATTTACGAACTTTTTAGTTGGTATGGTATTTCTTGGGGAGTAATTTCTAAAGTTTGATAATTTATAAAAGAAAGTTTCATTTTTGAAAGTCTGAACACTACTAATCATTCCCGTTTATGGAATGGAGATACATTTAGACACACTTCTTTAATTGAATATAAATAGATGCTTCGATTGTTTCAACATTGTATCATTGAATTGAGTCTATCAACATGATTAGAAGAACGAACCGGTTATTTTTACATCCGTTCTAAACAATATTAACACTTTTGCAAGGCAATGTTTATAAAACCCAATGATACTGTATAGTTTTCTTCATACTAACTTCTTCCTTATCTAACATATCGCTTTAAACTTTACGTTTTCTCGTGTTGTGTACAATGCATGATAGGCAATGTTTGTATATTAGAACGTTTTTGTGGGTTTACATTGGTCTTTAGCCTTGTAAATGTATTCTTAAAATCTAGAGTATGAATATGTGGACACATATTTGACTTTGGCATGTGCACCACGGTAAATCGGAATCTCGACAGGTTTTTTATTGTTGTACAGATTCTGATAGACATTGAACAAGTCGTCGAAATTTAGATGACAAAATTTCGGCTTATTACTGATTGGAAGCGTTGTCATGAGTGATGATAATGTACATCTCTTCTATACATGTTATATTAATACAAAATTTATTTTCTTTATTGGTTTACACGATAAAGCCATTCAATGATCTATAAGAACATATTTACGAATACGCTTTTATTCCATTACTTGAAAATAATTACGCACATCAACGATTGATTATTAAAATGAAGATATAAGAATAAAATATTATCATTTTTAGAAACAAATGAAACTTGCAACAGTATCTCGAACGAGAGAAAACTGTGGTTGGTTTCTTCGAATCTTAGAATTTTTTCTATTTGAGAACAACAAAACTCTTGAATAAGTTCGATTGAAAAATTCAATTTTTTAGTGTAATATTGTTGAATAAATTTATTTTAATCGATAATAACAAAGAATTTATTTCTTATTGCTGATGAAATAAACATGATAGTAGTTTCAAGCGAAATATTCGAGAAGAAAAATTTTTTAAAAAGAGATTTTTACGGTTTCTTATCACAATTAATAAAATAGGAATTTAGCAAGTTCTTTGGTAATAAAGAAAAAAACAGTGGCCGCATCAAGATCATTTCAACAGAAAACGATAAGACGAATAATTTATAGCAAGACATGACATTTATGTAATACCATAAAGAAAGTGTATAACAAAAATACGATAATAAACGAATGACGTTTACGACGTTCATTGTCAGTAAGTATATAAATTTTTATTGCATTGTATACGATAATCGTATAAAAACAATGTTATCCATCGCAGAATATTTGTATACGGTTGAATACGATCATCAATAATAAATCTGGGAAGCAGAGAAAAATAATCAGAAATCTGAAGTGTTTTACAACAATTTTTAAGTTTTATAAGAATTTCATTAGACCATATACAAGCATACATTGCTATTGTTCACGATAGTCGTCAAACATGCAACTTATTTTTTCTATTAGTATTGTATTAATCGTCGGTATAAATGTTCATCACACGCTAGCCTTACCACAAGTAGAAATTTTATTAATATTTATGATTTTTTTTTTAATTTATTTTTTAATCTAGAATTATGATGATGTATTGAAAGAAAAAAAATACGTCGATGAAAAAATATCAGCATTGGTAAATATTATAGATATTTCATTTTCTTTGTAATTGATGTCAGACCAAATTTTTTCAAGAAAAATTCTGAACCATCAGCAGAATTGAATCCTGAACAAATGGGTAAATCTAATTATGTGAAACTTTTATTGAACGATATTTTTATTTTATTTTAGGAGGTTACTATCAAGGTGATATGATCTTTCCTGATGATGCATTGGTAAGAATTTTTATACATTATTATGTGATATTCATTTCACTTTGATACAAAGCGTGGGGCTGCCAGTAGACCATCATGGCAACGATGGCCTAGTGGAATAATACCCTATTATATGACATCATTAATTTGTAAGAATTTAATAAAATTTCATTGTCTTCTCAAAAAACTTGTTAATTTTAGCGGTCAATCATTCACGATTAATTCTTGATGCTATGCGGCGCATGGAAGAACTAACAAGTGTAGGAAATCAGCTATGCATTCAATTTCGTCCGAAAACTATTTCAGACAAAATTTTTATTACAATAACAAATGGAACTGGTTGTTCAGCTCACGTATATAACAAATATTTATTTAAAACAAAAAAGCAAACAAAATCTAATCAATAACATTTTTTTATTTTAATTCAAGGTTGGATATCTTCAAAATTATACATTAAATCGTACGGTTACTTTAATGCATACACCAACTGCTACTTGTATGAGAACTGGAATTATTCAACATGAACTTCTTCATATATTAGGTAGCTAATATTTACTAAATTTAAGGTGATAAGTTTTCAGTTTTTTTAAATATAAGGTTTCTATCATGAACAATCTCGTCCTGATCGTGATGATTATGTTTCAATTGAATGGAACAACATTATAAACGGTAATTTATACTAGTTTTGATTATAATAAATATTCGAACTATAAAAATTATTTCAAACTAGGTACTCAGTTCAACTTTGCGAAATACAGTCTATCAGATATTGACACTCTAATGACATCATATGATTATGGATCCGTTATGCATTATCAAGCTAATGCCTTCAGTTCTAATGGTTTACCAACAATTAGGGCTACGAAAAATGTCAGTGCAGTACTTGGACAACGGCTTGGTATGAGTCCAATTGATATTCTTGAGGTTCAACGCTATTATGGATGTGTTCCAACCCCAACTACGACTCCAACATCCGCAGCTATTGAAACAAATACAATATTGATGAGTTCAACTATTTTAATAGAAATTGCTTTAATACTTTTATTCAACTCTGCTATCTCATTATGAGTTATCATTTGAAATTCGTTAGTATTCTGAAGTTCATATAAACAAATACATTTATTATAGAACATTAAAGTTTTGACATAATTTTATTTCTAAAATATTTTTTCTTTGTTTTGTTTGATTATAAAGAAATTATTTACAATTTAATAAACAATAATTAGAGATGAATATGAAACTGATTACGTTTAACTTCTAATTATATTTATAGATGTGTAGATATTAATGTAAGAATGTGAATGTGATTTTTCTTTTCGTTCATATCCACATCCTTCTGACTAAGTTATTTATTTTTTGTATTTGCCCATTGTAGTTACTGTTTCTACGGTTGATTCATGCATTCATATTCAAAGATTATTCATTACCTAAAGCAAAACGTACAATAGAAAGCAGATTTTATACAATACAATTATAAAAGTTCAATAATAACGAGTACAAGAACAATGATATAATTGATGATTGAAAAATCGAAATTTCATGCACTAAGTTCTTACATAAGATTTCGACAAATCGAAACTGATCACTACGATAATTAGCCGAAAAACTTTATAATAAAAGAATAACAGCTTGGTTCTGTAAAAACGGACTTTATTTCAAAATAATAAGTTAAACTGATGGAAAAGAATTAAAATAAGCAGAAATAATTTAACAGTTTTGAGATTGTACGTATATGGATTGTTTTTCTGATATATTTGTACTGTTACTCATTAAAATATCTATCTATTATTAAACTTATCCTATCAAAAGATTATTATGATGTTGTAAATAAACAGCTATGGAAAAAGTGTTAAACATATCAATCAGTGTTTAAATTATAATATGCATCTGCTTCATTTGATGATACATTCGTAACTAGTACTTCTGTTTACAACGAATAAACAGACATGATTGTAACTTCTTAACTAATATTCTTTTGTTTTGTATCTATGTAGCTTATTTTTAGTTAATTATCAGCTTTACGTAACATTATTAAGTCTATTACACATTTATACTTGAAAGTTCGAGCCTTTGTGCTTTTGTTTTGAGTTTTTTTGACTATTTTTGCATGGCATGAACTGTCGTTCAGCAAAAAAAGTGGATATTGATAATGAATATTTTATCATGGTTTTTTTTTTATAAAGTCATAGACGACCTGTATTTTGTTCGTACCTATCAAGCTGTACTGGAGTATATTTCTACTTTTTTCTGCTTTGAATCGTTTCTTTTTCAATGAGTTTACATCTAAAAAACAAATCGCAAAAATGCATCTCCATACGATTCGATTCAATTTAGGTGTCTGTACGATGTTCTCATTTCTATTTTGCTAGTTCCTTCTTGAGCCATTTGAGAAATTAGCATTAGATAATACTTTTGATGCTTTTGATCACTTTTCTTTTTTGAACTTGAGAAAGACCAGTTTCAATGATGATCTTTTAAATGCTATTGCTCATTTTCTATTTTGTAGAATTCACATAAATTTTCGAAGAAAATGATAAGTATAACTTTAAGAGCGAGATTCTGCTGCTTCTCCCTTTCATCTATCTCCATTACAGACTTTAGTAACCATGGTAGCCTTCCCATTGCAGACTTTAACAACCGAGAATAACGGGTATCAGACTTTCTAATTTTTTTTTGAAAAATTAACCAAGTTTTAGTTTTGAAAAATGATAAATATCATTGTTTATGAGTTGATTAATATATATAATAGTGCGTAAGATCTGATGTAGATATCATGGACAAGTAAAACAGACTTATTTGTACATTAATTCAATGATTGAGATGAAAAGAATGTTAAATTAAGAAAAATGAATTAGAAAAAATGAAAAATAATGAGGGAACAGCATCAATTCAAATAAAAAATAGGGCGTCTGTAGAAAAAATAAGCAATTTCTGTTCAAAATACAGTAATTAGAGAGGTGCTTACTCTCATGTTCAAATTATCCTGCAAAACTACTATAGTTCACAAGAGATTTTTCACTTTACGCATTTTGTATTAGTTTAATGAAGCTAGAGAACAAATGTGACTTCCATATTTTAGTCCCAAAGGGGCTGTGCTCAACAAGATTATATCAAACAGTAGTATTGATCTTTCTTTGTTGCTTACGAATACACATGATGTGGATTTGGCAGCCTAATTATATGAAGAATTTTTCTTACAAATCAACTGTACAACTTTTCCCTTTTCTTTCCTAATTTTTGTCAAGAAGTTTAAAGGTAGCATTAAGAGAGGATAGGAATTTCATAACTGCTGTGAAAATTATCTCTTTCCGATAGTACTCGGAATTGTGTGAGCCTTGGGTTTGAACGAAATAAAACTGAATAGATGAAATATGCAGTGTCAAGAAGTCATCAAGATTAAGAGAGAAGGAAGAATAAAAAATATACAATGTTGTCATAGCGTGTCTAAACATGATTTGTAGAAATAAACTGAAAGCTGAAAAAATCTCGAATATTATGTGAAAGAGATGATTTTCGTAGCAATTATCAATTTTTTCTCTCTCTTATAATTTCTACCACTACTATACTCAATGTTCTCGTCTTTTACTGCTACTACTCCTTTCAGCGTTATAAAATGTATGAAGCTGTATCGATGTGTGATGGAATATAATGAGTTACCAGAAAAGCAGTTACATTTCTAGGCTGGACTAGTAGAATCGTCAGCTGACCTAAGAATCTCAAAGTTATCCATAGAATTCAACTGCGTAATTATACTCAGAAGAGAAAGACAAAAAGAATAACTATATATCGATGATTTTTGTGCACATCTAGCTCTGGATATTTTCAAACGTTTTTTGGCGTGCATTTTTGCATGTTTCAGTCATCATACTGATGATGTCAGAAAAGATCTTGAACGATAATCATCAAAGAAGTTTAGAATAACCAATGACAGAATGATTTAACAAATTTGTTTATGCTTACAGTCAATTGATTGTTTATAAATACATTGATCTAAACAAAGCAGACAGACAATGGAGAAATTGATTAAACATAAAAGAAGACTGATCGAGTTCTCAAAATTTTAGTTATGCATTTACGATTATTTATAACAACTAACGCAAAAATACTATAAGAAATCAATTCAATACTTCTCACAGACACATAAAAATTCGATTGGTGGGCAGGACGAATAGGCTTCACTTGAATTTCGGAATTGAAGTGAAGTGAGTTTAAGTTTATCGTTGATACTCACGTGAATAACTATAGTAAACATTGCAAGAGGATTTCTTGTCTGTTTACTTTGCTATTGTAATATTATCTATGGATAATGACAAATGTTATGAGTAACTCAAACGTTTACAATCTTATATATAACACTCTATTTCACCTCTATCCTTTATCATTGACATATATCTCAATACGTGGCATAGACAATGAAATAAACTGAAAAAGAAGACACTGCTTATTTTTTTTCTCTTGGTTTGTTACTTCTTTTTGTTTTACGTTAACGTTTGGTCATAATAACTGAAAACCGACGAAAATGATAAGTGCATTTTTTCCAAACGTTATTTCTTTAATACTTGTATGAAATAGGTACAGCACTGTTTTCTTCGAATATTTTTCGGGTGCATCCAGTTACGGATAAGGCATTGGTCTCAAGGTTTTTTGATCTCTATAACAAGATCGTTGATTTTGCAAAAGTGGTCTTTTACTAGAATTACAGGGTAACACTGAAAGTATTTTGAAACTGTTTGAATTAAGATTTTGAGATTGATTCGAGTCGAAATGGAATTTTATCATCCAAAATACTAAAAGCAAAAGCAAAACGCTTTTCCATAAACACAGAAGAAATCACCGAAAGAAAATGATGCGTGGTACGCTTCTGTATCAGATGGTCGTATTTCTTAAATAATGCACATCTTTATACATTCTGTTTCGATTTTCAACAGTAAATGCAAATCATATTGAAATCAAATAAAATACTTTGCAAAGCATAACAATTTCTGTTAATCGAATGAAATATAAATGAACTTCATTTCATGGATTTATTCTGTGTCTATATGATGCGAAAAGTTAGTTTGAGAGGAAATTGTTGAAGAAGTTCGTTCAAATCCTGGCAAGATTGATAAGCTCTTTTTCCAGTTCTTTGATTTCATAATGTACAATATTGTCCTATGTGTATATCGGCATTTCTAACTTGAATACGATGAGAAATCGAAGGTTTTCAGCATTAATCAAGCAAATATTTTAACGTGTTATGATACTTGACAGTTTGCTAACTTCATCCTTCAATACGAGGCTTGAATCGATTGAACAGTGAACGATTGGTTAAACAACAAATATTGTCAAGTCCTCATCATCGCATGTAACATCATTTTGCGATTGAATTTCGATTGCTTAAGAGGAAAATACATCGAAAATTATATAGGCGTGCATCATTATTTGTAGACCCATACCCACATCCACACCCACATCCTGAGAGATAAAATAGAATAGAATCCAGAACTTTGAGTAAACATATGCACTAAACTTATCTTCATTCTACTCATAGTAATACTGCTGAATTTTTCGGATAGTTTTGACGTAAGATATCGATGCAAATTAAAGCTACCACTAGTAGTGTAAGTTGATTGGCTGAGCCATTGCTTTTGTGGCACATTACATATTCGACTTTTAACAGTTTTCAACGTTCCAAATTAGTTTTTTGAGAAGTCGCCGTCTTGCTTTTTGTCAATTAATTGTCTACCGTCGTCTTCTCTCTTTTTCATGTAAAAATTTCTCGCACTTGAAAATATTTCGAAAAAGTTCCTAGAACAAGCCACCATCGTCAATCAATGCATCGACTTACACCTCTACTTATCATGCCGTATATGTCTATCGTACCTAGAGAAAATGAAGCTCACCTATGAGACTCGATGAAAAGTAGTAAAAATATGGCTGATATTCTATATCATTTACCAAGTATGCCGAATGGAACTCGACGTGTTCAAGAAAGGATTGAGCTTTCTTAGTGAAAGGCTTCTAAAAATTATACAGAAACGTACATTCGACATATCTGTCGAATGTGCAAGATATTTAAAAGCCACTTT